GTAAGTCAACCACTATGGATCTTATGAACTTGCCAAGCACGTTGGATCGACGGTTGTCTCAAGGTTTCGCGGACACTGTGCAAAGCCGCAGCGACTGGCATTCCGCGCTCGATCTCTTGGCTGGAGTGTTCTCTAGACCGATATCTCCAAGACTCAGTGTACACTACCTACACGAGTCAAGTGCCGTCACCACTGTTAAGGCCGTCGCTGATGGAGTGACTTCCACATAGTTCTGTCGTCAAGCGTGAAAGCTTCAGACAGCTCGTACACGATGTCCCGTATACTCCAAGCATCGAGGTCGCCGACTAACTCCGCTCGGAGGACGGTTTATTTTTATTGGCACGTGCATCCAATACGACAATGAGGATCAAGAAGCTACCTGTAACGTGGTGCGTAAAATAGGCTCGTGTTCTTTATAATCCAACGACCCTAGTTACTTACCGGATTCGGTAAATTGACGTCACTCGCGCGTGGCTCTCCGTTGACGCCTCGTATGGCTCAAATTAGTAGTTGTCAGGTCAACATTCACACGTTATCTTGAGGGCTGGGTTCACATTTCGAAGCCAATGCAAGACTCATCCGGACAGTCATGACGGTCGATCAACGAACGCATGTGTTGCAACTATGAAGCAGACACGCAACCTTTGACTTACCTGCTCCAAGGTGGCAGTTGATTACCTCTAAGGCCATGACAACAAGCCAAAACACTCTCCGGACGCTTTCCGCATGCAAATGTCCCGTTGGAAGCCAGTCTCGGCGACTTCCAGTAGAACCGGTTGACTGGGACCCCCGGCCAAGATCTCCGGGACAGATGAGCTGGGGTTCGACAGGCATTCAAGATTGGCATCTGAAGAGCTCTCCCATCTACTGCTTCTCATTTGTGGACTTCCTGCATCTACCGAGGCTACTGGGAGGATCGGAGTGCATCGTCCAATGGAGTCAGACTGGCAAAAGCGGACTGAAGCAACATTGCAGTGCAGTGCAGCTCCTTTCACGTTACTAATCGACCAGGACTGTACTGTTACACGCATGAATGTAAGCCGGGGGCCACTATCCCCGAGATTTAGACTATTTCCTAGATAGGAAAGCTTTCTAAGAGCAGCCTAGCGTCCAAGCCAGACAACGGGTCCCACTCTAGCAGAAGCATCAGTGACCCTGGTAATATGCATCGAAACCATCCCGTCACCATCGAGTTGTCAGAAATGTTGTCCGCCTATTCAGCCTTATCACCACGCCTTAAAGCCAGCGCCATGTACTGTTCGAGGCGGGCCAGCTATGGATGGATCAGCGTTAGGCACGTCAGTACGCGTCCTATCGCTGCGTGCTCCCCTCGGCACCCAAGGCGCGCACCGGTCGGAAGCCGCACAGCATAGCCGGCCTAGCCAACTGGTATTCGATATAATTAGTTACCGACCTCAAGCACAAGGCAGACTTCCTTTGAGACCAAACCCCAAGCTGCTCCCAGCACAGCAACCCGTCGTTAGGTACACAGTGGGAATCGAGTGAGTCTACTGGCATCCATCCGCACGCCAGGAAGACTGCCAGGGTATATATCACGACCGCGACAGGTCAACAACCGACCTTGAGGAGATGGCGAGGAGCAATGTGATATCAACTAGAAGACTTGGCTTCATATAGCATCCATCAAGTCGACTTGATTTTTTTTACTTCATCGAACCCTCAACGACTATAAGAAAACATTAGTTGTTTTCATTGCCGGAAATCATCCTGGCGACCTCATCAACAACAGTCTCCAGTACATGTGACAGACGATGATGGATCACTTCAATGCCACGGTCCTAAATGGGGCAATGATTTCTACCCGAAGAGGCTTTCAAATATCGAAACAGAAGCACAATGGGACTGCCTTCGTCAACACGTCTGCCCAAGACGTCAAGCAAAAAAAGTCAACACTAGGGACGACATTTGGTGTACCTACTACCGGGAAGCTGACATTCGTTAACCACGGCGAAGATGGAAGGAAACACACTCAGTCGAAGAAAAAGACAAGGATCACGAAGGATAGCGAGAATGCTTCTTACCCAAGGTCAACGAGGACAAGGAAAGCGGTCAAGGATGACCTTCGTAGGCAGTCCTCATGCACCACTTCTTCCAGCTCTTGTAGCTCCCAATCATCGGATGACTTCCTCGCTGAAGGAATACCCGATCCCAACGGTCATGATAACGATATCTTCTCGTATCTCGAGTCCTTGCCCGCCTGGGCATCATACAAGCTTCCTAAGGATGCCACAGACTTCAGCAAGCGATTGCTGTTTATGACGCTTGCATTTGGCCCCGACGATGCAGACCCATTCGACGGACACGACAACATGACACACGATCCACTGACATGGTGTGGAAGACATGTGAAGCTCGTTAAGGATCCTACGAGTTTGCATTGTGCCCTAACATTAGGTGCTTTGTTCGATGCGGCGAGATCAGGCCAACAGGACTCAGCAAACCTCAATACACTCACTTCCCAATTAGCCTCGATCATCAACCGCAGACTCAACGAAAAAGATCAAAGTATCGTCGTGCGCGATGTGACGATACATGCTATTGCCTCCCTAGCGATTATTGCAGTACGTGTGTCATATCGCTTACAGCTGTCGTCAATGAGCTGACCGGTATTCTAAAGGGTTATCAAGGGAAGCATGACCATTGGTATGTGCATATGAGAGGGCTGCTGAACCTAGTCGATCTCGCCGGGGGCCAATCAAAACTGGATCCTAGAACAATGTCGGTTATACGCAAGTAAGTGACTATGGACTTCGGTATTGTAGCATCAGGGCTGATCGTCTCTCCGCGCAAAACAGAGCGGATTTTGCTGGTGCGATCCCCGCTGCCACCAAGCCCTGCCTGCCGTTCATCAAAACCCAGCACGGCATACGGCACTCACTTCTCCAAGAACGACACAAGGAGAGTACCGATGTTGTGAAACGCCTCATGGAAGCCTGTCGCCTGGACTCAGAGATCGTCGATGCAATAGCTTCTGCCACCATCAAGGACGACCCCGAAGTAGGCACAGAGCATTACTATCACTTCATCTACCGACTCCTATCTTATCCGGAAGCCTTGCGTGACTTCGATGAGGTGATTTCACCATGCACGAGCAATAAGTTAGCTTTGCACGCACAAGACTTTCCCACACCCGAGTCTATCAACACGGCAACAGACACGTATACGAAGGCCATCGAGTCGGCAATGCGGATACTAGTACTTCTTTACCTAAGGGAGCCGACGCTCAAGATACCATGTGGCGAGGGCGTTCTTCTAGATCTCCTTGCTCGAGAAGTCGGCTCAATTCTCGTTGACCGACAACTAGAGCACATCGAAGACATGCTTATTGACCCTACGCTGCTTCAAGAATCGCGATCAGCACAGCGGCCAACTCTCATCTGGATCTGTATAGCCGGGGACCTGTTCTGGACTTCGAAGATGGGAACGTCTAGTGAACACAACAGCATGAAGGGCAGACCCAGCATCTACGCAGACCTTCTCAAGGACGTCCTCGGTTCTGCAGCTTCAGCAAACCCCGACTTGATGCCTGACAACGATTTAGAACTCTGCCGGTATCTCGACCTCAGAAATGTTGTAGGACCTCACTGGTGCGAGAGGAATGCTACAAGGAATATGCTGGGTATTGCCAAAATAGAATGACGACGTCCCTTCCGTAGAGATTTCATGTAGACGCTTGTGTAATGTCTGGAAATAGCACCGTAACACTCAATTTTGATACGAGGAAACCAGATGCCCTACCAACTTGAACTTCTCGACCAAACAGCACATTTCCTCGTAGACTACCCTTTCCCCGCTAACCTTTTGACGCGCTGTGGCATTAATTTGTTTCACGCCGCAGTCTTGCATAGCCGGGGGTAGCCCCATTCATACCCGTCTTTGGCTCACCCTCCAACTGGACCCGACGATCGTCACCGCGCCTCATCCTTGCAGCATGGCTCCCGTCGCTCCAGCCCTACAGGCTACACCGAAGCGGCAACGTTACACTAGCAATCCCAATTGGCCGGGTTACGGCTGAAGATGGAAGATATTCGTTGCTACTGGTCTTGGCCTAGCTGATGCTGAAGAGTCCCTAGATCGTCAGAGGCACCAATCATAGTCGTGAGACCGTCCAGCTGTGCATGGATCTCAGAACCTGATCACGTAGACATCCTCAACGAAGTGTTAACCAACTCAATCCCGAAATACACTCTCATGTCACGCATGGTAAGTATGATGATTGACACATATTTCTTTACCATTCACCTCTTTCTGTGCTCGCAAGTCAACGCAGTCGAAGGTAAGACAGCTAGTTCCGCTCTTAGCACGTTTCCTGTATTTATTCCAGGCTTCGTACTTCCAAGACACATCTTGACCACCAATCAATCAACAGCATGTGGGGGGGCTGTAGTGACCAAGTAGTGGTGTTCTACCAATATCCTGGTATCGAATCTAGGGGGTGTGGCGGGCCAGGGGTCCAGGTTTGCCATGCCAGGTCAGGCATGATGATGAGCCAAGGACATCGAAGGGCACCTGTGCAATCCTCGCCCTAGTTGAAGTACACTGTTGTTCTCCCGAATTCCTGTCTCACTATCTATATTTAGCTTATCAGGATATTTAGCTTATCAGGTATACACGAATGTATCCCTTTCCCCATCTAGATGTTTGCCTTTTCTATTTGTACGCCGATTCCGGAACGACGAATAAGCTCAGGACACCATGGTATCTTTTGGTGCTCTCTAGAGTCCTAGTCGCTTCGCTGACATACTGCGCATGGTTGAGGTTAGCATTGATGCCCTTAAAGGTAGATATATTTCGAACGTCTGATTAGTCTGAATGCAAAGTATCTTCGTTCGTCGACTATCTACAGTGATAGGGGAACAGGGTTCACAATAATTTCTGATTTTCTGTAGCGCAACCCGCCCGAAAGTGGAACGGCGCAAGAATGAAGAACAAAGAAGTGACCTAAGCGAAATAGAGCAGCCTCAAGGAAAAAGAATCAACGGCTGAGATAGGAATCGAACCTACGAATCTTTCACCAACTGAAGTCCATCGTTTTAAGCCGTTGGCAGCTCAATACAGAGGACTTCATATGCAGAAAATGCCTTCCCACTAGGGCCACTCAGCCTCGTGTTTGCTTGATGACAATGTGGCCTGTTCGGCGATTTGAGGTGTGTCAGGGGGCTAGTATGATATCCGCCTCAGGCAATGATCGTTTTCTTATAGTCTCAGGCAGACAGGTACATCCTGTGATCGAGAGACGTCTAGTTGACATTTAGTCTGAGCTGATGACGAACCTCGCTGACACCTTGGGTAAACTAGGATAGGTGTCGATTCGAGCAATCGCCGCTGTACCCACAGAGAAGAGAAGCCACGATAGTACGAACCTTATGATCAAACATAGGATCATCTGAAAGGCAGGCTGTGCCGATATCACCTTGCCAGTACTTCTTGTCTGGCGAGCCATACCAGGATTAGTTACAGCATCTGTTTGAAATGAAAAGCACACGTTCAATAACCCAGTATTCAAGAGGAGTACTAACGCTTCACGTCAACGGGTCACATCCCACGGTGGCCCATGGACCATTATACAAGCACCAAGGAGTGATCTGAAATCATTGAATGAATGCCGGGTTTGCGGAAGATCCGAAAAGCGTTGTGATATCTATATCACGAGCCTTGCACAGTTCTAGTGAAGACGACTGTTATCGCCACGCCAGGTGCTTTGACTTCCACAAACGGGTTTGACGAGGCACGCTGACACCCGAATGACCGACTTAAGGACCTAATAACGTAGATGGTCGGCTGACACTGTGAGGAGTTGGAAAGGGGTTAGCCTATGAGACCATAATCTTCTGAAGCGATCAGTAGTAGACTTTGAAACTCGATGCCAATACGTTCTCCTAGTGACGTGTTTTCAGATTTAATGCTGTAGTTCCATTCTCCGTATTTCGTACAGAGCACACCCAGACAGTGCAAGTCAAATGAAGCTATGTGCAAGTTGTACCCTCATAAGGCAATCTACCTTGTGCTTCGAGGCACAATTACAAAGCAATGACGTCCGCAATTTTAATAGTCGTAGGTGCCCACAAGAGGGATTTCGAACACCGCTACTCGCAGGATTCAACATAGGGACTGCCGAAGACAAGCATACCCCTAATGGCTTTGTACACATGGCCTGCCGGGACGACGGTGTCATCCACGTGGCGTACATCTTATTTATACGTCTTACTTAGGCGCCTGGATAGGCACCCATACCGTACATGATGTAAGATCACTGTACCAGATGTAGGACCTGAGAAGACACAAAGACGATCTTCGAGATAAGTCACGAGAACTTGACTAGATCCGGTAGAACTGCCAGATTGGTTGTCTGCACGGCACCAGAAGGGCGGAAGATGAGCTCAGCCCTGCATATAGCCAGGGCCGCATGGAGCTCGCTTCTCTTCACAGCGTGGGGGAGCGTTTCCATATCCAAATACATGGTTGTGGGATTGATAAGTCTCAGGTACTACTTCGCGGGTTTACGGGGTCATAGCTAGTTGCTATAGCTAGCACATCTCGGATCTGACGATTTGCCATTTTCTTTGGGCTTGCTCCCAGTCCTGTGAATTGACTCAGCCTGGTATAACGTTGCGTGTCAAGCCTCATTCAATGTTTATCTGCTAAGATAAGTAGTAGAATGAAGCAGATGTTGCACTAGCGTAGATGAGTGTGCCTACACCTTTGTTGGGGGGATTTAAGAATCAGCTCTTCCCCATTTGCTCCAGATACGCCTTCCATTCAATCGCTTGTATCTTCTTGTCCTTTTCGAGGACTTCCATCTTCATCTCTTCTTGGTAACGCTTCATACGCTCGGCATATTCAACGTAGCTTGTCCCCAGGATCCTCACCGCCAGCAGAGCCGCGTTCGTGGAGTTGCCGATTCCTACTGTTGCACACGGGACGCCTCGAGGCATCTGCACGATGGAATACAAGCTATCGGCTCCGGCTAACGAAGAGGCTTGGATCGGAACCCCGACTACGGGCAGATGAGTCTCAGAGGCGAGCATGCCTGGGAGATGCGCGGCGCCGCCCGCTCCAGCTATGATCACCTTCACGCCACCCTTCGAAACGTCGGCCGCGAAGTGTGACATCAGCTCGGGTGTCCGGTGCGCTGAAGTTATACGAACTTCATATGGCACTTCAAACTTGTCGAGGATCTTCAAGCCCGCGCTGATGATGGGCAAGTCTGAGTCTGAGCCCATCGTGACCGCCACTAGAGGAACACGCTTGGGCCTCGTCGACGTCGCCGCCGTCGTAGCTACGTTTTCACCGACACGCTCACCTCTGATTTCATCTACACATGTACTCAGTGGACTAGCAAGCCGTTCTAGTCTATCAATGGACGCGTAACCCACGGCAGTGATGTGACCAATTTTCCTCCCCGGTTTTGATTCTTTCCCGTACTGATGCAGATGAACGTCTAGCGACGAGCTACCCATAGTCTTGGTCAAACCAACCAATCTATCATGTGATGTAGGCTTCGAACCGCCCAGAATGTTGACCATAATCGCAGAGGGGACTCTTGGAGTGAGCTCCAGGCCGTCGGGAATGGTGTTGAGAATTGAACATAGTTGTGCCTTGAACTGAGACATCTGTGGGACCACCTCTATGGTATAGTGGCCTGAGTTGTGGGGTCTTGCTCCACGCGTTAGCCATTACTATTCAACTGATTGCGGTAGTGAATGAGACTGAAGGCGTTGTTGTTTCACGAGCTCTCAGTCTCCAACTTCGGCCTATATAGAGGAAACAAGCACCTCGACCACTGACCTTGGAGCAACCTCGTTCACGAGGATTTGACCTATCGACCGTTAGCCTCGGCATTGTTATAGCTCGTGGGAACGTCCTATCTGATATGACGACGCGAAAAGGAGATTGTGTGGCGAAGGAAAGCACTCGAGGCGCGCAAAGGTGCAACTTACCGTCTTTGAGAACGAACATCTCAACCGCGAAAACCCCTCGTCCCCATAAGCTTGCGACAACATCGCAAGCGACCTTCTGTGCTTGTAACTTGACATCGTCTGCAATATTCCTAGGAGGGAAGTAGACCTTCGTGCAGATCGAGTCTTCATGGATCGTTTCTACTACCGGGTAGGGTAGCACTTTGAGCAGCTTGCCATCTTCATCCTCAGTTCGTACAACCATAACGGCGAGTTCCATCTCAAAAGGCCTTCTGATGTTAGCAACAGTCAAAGTATCACGGTTGAAGCTAGTCCAAGTGGAAGGAGAAAAGCTTCTTCACATGCAACGGTCTGGTAGAATAACAAAGGTAATCTGATAGGAATAACCTTGGAGATTTGACTCGTACCAAGTATGCATTTATATGAGGCAGGCTCGTTTCAATTTGGGCCAGTATATGGTGGCCCCAAAAGTGATACAAAGGATAGGCTTGATACAAAAACCAGAAGCTTGACTTACACCCATTTCTCAGCGTACAGAGGTTGATTTCCCATCTGCTTGGCCGCTACTTCGAAGTCCTGAGGATTTCTGATCTTGTAGTTCCCTCGTCCGTCGTAGGACCCTTTACTGCCCTTCAACATGAAAGGCAAGCCAAATTTATGCGCTGCGTCCTGCAGTGAGGCTTTGCGTGTGGTATCGGAATCGGACTCAATCGCCATCTGTTCGGCTATGGGTATTCCCTTCTGCCCAAAGTACTCCTTCTGCAAATACTTATCCTGAATGAGACGTATAGTCTTCCATGACGGATGAACGGGTACTTTTTTCCTCGTGATCTCGCCGTTGGCATCCGTTACCTCGACGCCTTGCGTTGCGATCTCCTCCAAAACCCGAGTATCGACATGTTCTATTTCAACTGTCAAGACGTCGCACCGCGAAGCCAGCAACTTGATCTTGGCTGGATCCTTGAAGGATCCGGTCACATGAAGGTCGTTCTGGTTCACTTGCTTGGCGGGGCACTTGTCTTCGTCCAAAACTGCGATCTTAACGCCCAAGGGACTTGCAGCCTCGCAGAGCATGCGGCCCAGTTGACCTATTCACAATTGGGGGTTAGTTCTGGCTTGTGTTCAAGGAATAACGGGAGTTTATAAGAGAGCAGGGCCGTTGGACCGGAGTCGAGAGCTATGCTTTATGAGCTCTCGAACTCCGACATTGGCCTAGAAGAGAAGAAAGTTGTCTCGATTACTGACCTCCTCCTAGAAGGCCAATAATAGGTTCCTTCATGATGGAAAGAACTACTCCGAAGCCGTTTTCGAGTAAAAGTCTCTGCTGGTGATTGACGGTGCCTGAATTAGGCAATACGTGATATTGCGCTCTTGTCGGTTTCGTCGAAAAAGGCTATGGAAGAGGGGCAAAATTATAAGCCAATTAGCGGACCTGCTCCACTCGATAAGGCAGGCGGTGAGGTAAGTGGTGTGCGATATCGTTGTGATTGACCTCCAGTCTTATAAGGGACTGAACAGAAGAGGGGTTCACGCGTAGAGGAAATAATGATTGAGGACGTATGTTGTGCCCAGCGTCGACGAGGGTTGAACAAGAGACATAAATCGTCCATACCGCTCAAACCACGACGTGTGGATATGTTAGGTAGTAAGTAAGTCTGCCCCTGTAATGCCTGTTGTCTGTTGTCCGTCATGATTAATCTCGGTCTAATGCAGCCTAGCCACGCAGACTACGCCAAGTATCAACTGGCTGCAGACTTCTGTAAATATAATGGCTCTGGTGACTAGCGATGGGTCAAGACTGTTAAGTTCGAGGAATGACGGTTGCGATGATTGGAAAGGTTGTCGAGGACGGTGAGGTATGGGGCGGAGACAGGTTCAACACCTACCTGGATAGGTACCCATGTACCATAGGTACCTTGAGAGCTTTCACCGAAATCACTTACATAATGAGTACCTAGGTACTCAGTAGAAGCAAAGTCCGGCACGGACCAGGTTTCGCAAGATGACGTGCCGCGGGGTTTTTTCTGATTGATAAGATTGCAGTGAATAGTAATCAATCAATGGCCCCGCGATTCGGAGCGCTAAGCATCGAATTTCCCTTCCAACCATTGGCGCATCGCGACACAGCATAAACTTTCACCGTACGTAGTTTGACTCCATTTCCTCCTGTTTACTTATTCGAACG